TTTGCTCCCCCTCAGCTCCTTCCCACATGGTCCACGTTTTTGCTCCCCCTCAGCTCCCTCCCACATGGTCCACGTTTTTGCTCCCCCTCAGCTCCCTCCCACATGGTCCACGTTTTTGCTCCCCCTCAGCTCCCTGCCACATGATCCACGTTTTTGCTCCCTCCCAGCTGGTTCACTTTTTTGGTCCCTCCCAGCTCCTGGTAGACAGGAGACACCCTGCACAAGATCCCAGCAGCAAGCTTGGAGGGAGCAACACCGTGTCTGCCTGGGGGTCCTGAAGGACTGGCCTAAACACTGAACTAAAGGGACTCTGTGTATTTGCAACATCACACATAATGTGATGCTTGGGGTTTTTGCTTGTCTAAATAGCCTATGCCGTTTTCCCCTGTAGAGCACATGGGCGGTTATGATGCTGTTGGTTTTCTTGTACCTCACTCATACTTCTGTGTGTCTCCTTCACCACTATGGATATATGAAAGTTTCTCAGTAGGAAGACGGCCATTCATTTATGCCCAGAAACTTTTTTGACATCAAATACTGGCAATATTTGCAACCCAACACTTCACCCAAGATCAGCTACGTCCTGCGCACCCTGCTGGGCAATGGTGGTGTTTGAATATTGACGTAGTGTAAAGCTCCTGAAGACAATGTAATGAACTTACTTGTGCTTTTAGATGTGCTTTGAGGAAGCTTGGTGCTGTGGCCGGTATTATCACAATAGTTGTTCGGATTCCTGATTATTTCATGCAGTATATAGTGACACCATCCCATCCTCTTAGCAATGTTCAAGATTGCGCTGTGTGTCCTGCCTTTGCCATCGGTTCAGATGTTTTACCAGCTGCTGTTTCCCATTGTACTTTTAATTTGGAGCCAGTTTCCATCTGTGTCTTAAACCGCAATCTAGCCAACAGAACACTGTGATTCCAGTGAACTTGACTGAGCAGTTTGGTGTTGTGTCCGAACACCTACAAAATGTCCAAATCTTGTAAGAACAGCATCCATCTGGAATTAATCACTTTTCAAAGAAATAGTACTTGGTATTTCTGGTGTAGTTAAGTGTTTATTAAAGTTAATAGCCCAGTGGTGGTGGTGTTTTTTTTTTTATGGGAGATGTGGATATTTCAAACAATATTTGATGTACTTCCTTTGAAGTTACCTCAGTCACATGAAGAGTATCTCTGCTTATTTTGGCACCTTTTTGCATAAACTGAAAAATGCATTTCCAGTAGTTTTAAAGTTCTTTTTCATATTTATTGATGAGATTTATTCCTTGCGTTTTAAGGGGGGGATTCGTCTCATGCGCAAGGTTTTCTGTAAATGGTGGCGATAGGCGTTCAGATATTTGTGGTTAAGGTTACGTCATTGGGATGTGTAAAATTGGGGGCAGTTCATGGTAGAAACTGGGTGCGGAATAACGGGTAAGGCTTGCTGAGGTAATGCTGGTAAGGGTTATCTGTTTTGATATTTTTATGAATGTTTAAAATACCGGAGTACAGAGATCCTTACATGCCATCCTCTTCACTGCATAGGAGTCTTAATATTGCACAGAAAATCAGTGTTTATTTTTGTGTTTAGCTGACATCTGAACCAAACTAAACCCCTTTTATAGGTGGAGCTAATCAAGTAATTTGTTCAAAGGTACAACAGCAGACCTCTTCTGGGACCAACCACCTTGCTTCTGGTTTGTTATGCTTAAAGAATTAATTACATTTTAAGACCCCGACGATCCTTATTTTAAGAGTTCTGCTGTTACTTTTACCTGTACTTTAGACCTCAAGTAAAACACCTGTGCTTGCAAAATTGCAGGTAGATACCTGTAGTGTATAATAAATTTGATGAAGGAAGTGATGTTTTCTGGAAGGTTATGTGAATGGTGTCCTTGTTTATTGCATAAAAAAGCTGTTGATCGCATAGTTACCAGTGGGATCCTGGCTGAAGAGGACTTGGGCCAGTTTGTTTTACCCCTGCAGTGGGGGTATTTGTCTGTGCTTTTGTACTGATTTCTGTTTCATTTGTGAGGTTTAATTTGCTACCAGACTCAACAAATTTTGTGTGTGTGTGTGTGTGTGTGTGTGTGTGTATCAATATAAATACATTATATTATATATTTATATATATATATGTATCAATATAAATACATTATATTATATATTTATATACATATGTATCAATATAAATAATTACATTTTATATATATATATATATATATATATATATGTGTGTATCAATATAAATACATTAAATTAAATTTGTGTGTGTGTGTGTGTGTGTATATATATATGTGTATATATATAATTTTATAACTTGGGGTTCAAAAGTGTGATGTTTAGCTTCCTGAGTGTGTATTATGTATTAAGTAACCATTCAGATATTTCTCGTTGTTGCATGTCTTGTTGGCAATACTTTTCCACATGCAATTCCATTTCAAGTATGACATGATACACCCTTATTTTGCGAACTTAGAACAAATATACCACCAAGAGAATGTGTTGAATGCAGGAAAAACGGTGTAGATTACATTATTTGTAGCTGAATTTAATTAAGTTTAATTAGGTTGGTTAGAACCAAAATCCCGGCTTTGGGGGTGAAGTAATGAGCAGCTGTTAGTTCCCAATTATTCAGAGGCTACAGAGATGCGTATTAGTGGTGGTATATCCACTCCGGCTGTTTATTAGGTACGATTGCTCACTAATGCGAATGGTGAATCATGTCCCTGTTGCAGCTCGGCATGCAGGCAGTTGAGCTGCATGCTACTGCATGCATTCCTGTGGTTTAAAGGCGTGGGGTGCAGCCCCCCCCCTCCCCCAAACCGGCCACCTTCATCTAGAAATGCACTTATGACGAGCTAAATTTTCCAAATTTGAACTGAATCAATGTTATGTAAATCTGTAAAATATAAAATGCATTTGGGCATAACTATTATCACTACCTATCTGTCATTATAGTGGCTGCCTGGGCAGCTGGATTGACCGGCTGTTCCATCTAGTGGCCAAATAAAAAAACTAGCGGAAACCTATGAATTGTCTGGACTGCATCCCAGATTTCAAAATCAGTCATTCCTATGCAAACCTACAGTTCTCATTACATTTGATGGAAAGCAATAGATTGAACTCTGTGCTGTCCTGATACAGATACTATTATGCTTTATTAATAAATGGGAAATAAAGGTGCCCACATTCTAGCATGTAGATTTTGGCTCAGTGGATTAAGCATCTGTGCTTCTGATCACAAGGTTGCTGGTTTGAGGCCCAGGGCGTGTCTGTGGGCTTTGAGCCCCAGCTCCATAGGTGCTGCAAGGTGGCTGTGCTGTGACCCTAAGCTAACTCGCACCTGCGTATGTGTGTTTGCGTCTCATGGAGAACAAGATGGTGTAAGACAAAGACATACTTCATTCTTTGTGGGGAAATTATCTCTAATGTTACAGCAGCAACAAGACAAAATCCTCCATGCAAAACTGGGTCAGAATCATAGACCTGGCAGGGGGGCGCCGCCCAGGTCAGGGTAACACTTAGAACAACATTAAGAATACAGTGATTTAAAAAAAAATCACCTACAAACAAATTACTTAATGCAAGCTATTAAAACTGTTAGTAATACAAGCCTGAATTGTATCCATGTTTTTCAAATGCAAACGGACTTGATTCCGCAGTCTGTGTTCAGAATGGAAAAAGTTGCATATAATTGCGCATCCATCCTCATATGTACCTGTCACCTGACTGCCATCTTCAGAGTCATTGCTGCTGACTGTCCAGCAGCAGGCAGGTAAGAGCCCATGTACGGCGTTCAGGAGGAATGAGCCAGTGTCTGTTGCAGTGTAGGATGTCATGCAGACATTCGGCAGTGTTTTGTAGAACTGGCTTGCTTTGTTAGTTTGCTTTATTTAATCGGGGAGCGTCTTCGGCCTTCAGGATACAGGCAGGTATTGTCTATACTGCAACAAACTTGTATAACATTCTTATTCTTATTTTGGAAGATCTGAGCCTGCACTGATCTTTCTTGAACAGCAGTCTAACAGTGCCCTTCCTTCCTTTGAGGAAAACCTCGCTGATTAGCCAAATTTCCTTCGCTGTTCATATAATCCTTGCTACCCACTTTGACTCATATTATAGATATAGATCATCAGCGCATAAACTAGTCTATTATGGAGTAATTAGTGAGTAATTTTTTTTCTCCATGGCAACGCTCTGCAATCAATCACCCTGTACCCCTAAGTAGATTTAGATGAAGTCTGAGAGTTTATGCTATGTGTAACACTAGTCACCTAAATATTAACTCCACCTCTGCCAGTAGAGTGAGAGACTAGGAGCCCGCAAACAGATCTACGAGGCGTGAATCTGATGTCTGATGGTTTAGCCTGGCGGGTCTTGGATGTCCTTAAAGCAGGTCAGCAGCTGTTTCCTTTTCTGTTCGCCGAAGTGTTTGTGTAACGTAAGAGCAACGCTACGAAAAT